GTGAGAACAACCTCGCAATGTCCTTGTTTGACAATCAGCAGTTAGCGGTTAGCGTTAGCGGATTATATTTGCGGATTTGACCAGCGAATTATATCAACGGTTGGTAAAAAGATATTTAGAAAACTTAGCTGTTTAGATTAACATGTAAACTGACCTAAGGGTATACATATATTTAATAATAATAATAATAATAATTGTTTTAATATATATATATATATATATATATATATATATATATATATATATATATATATATATATATATATATATATAATTAAGGCAATCATATTAACTATTTGGGAAAATTATTGACAAAAAGAGTATTCAAATCACACAACAAATTGAGGTATAAAACTACCTCACAATGTCCTTCTTTGGCAACCAGCAATTACATCTTCAATATTAGTATATATTTAACATTTCATGCCCTAATTTTTAATTGCTCTCCCTTATGTCTCGTATTTAGTTTCAACCATACCAATACAATTATAATATTGACAATTATAATCAATCTTGACTATATTATCTTATCTTGCATTTGTAAACTTAGAATTACATATTTAAATACGCAAATTCAACATTCAATTATCTATGCATGAACAATTGCAATATAATCTTGCCTTAATATACTTTAAAGTATTTATTAAAAAAAACATTGGGCATTATCCCAATCGCGCAATTCGCGTAAAAAACTAGTATTTATTTATAAGTACATTACAAATAAACTTGTATCGAAATATAATGAATTTATAATACAATTAAAATGAATTCATAGTATATTAAAAATGAACATATATGTCAATGGTCCACTTTAATGTTGCATGGAGATGAACGCCAACAGATAATGGTGAGGGCTACAGAGATTTGTGATGTCTTGTTCATATCCTTAGAATTAAAATTGTAGCAGGCGCTAAACACATATATCATGAGGTGAATTATTGTCCAAATTAGATAGCAACCCACTTTAGAGTTTAGGCACTAGTAAATTAATTGGGATTACTGAATTCATTATACTCACTACTCCTCTATATTATTTGCGGATCGTGTGCACTCATAAGTACAAATTTTATATCCACATTCATCACTCGAAAAATCATGCTCGACCCATTTAATCACATACATCCATTTTATACTTAAATCAATACCTTTTTTGTCCATTATTGTGTTTCATTCATTCATGTCTCGAAGTTGGACCATTACAAGGCTGTAAGTTCTTTTCAACGTTAAAAATGTGAACACAAAATCTTTTAGGTGAATAAGACAATACACATTGAATTCCATAATGCCCCTTTTTTTAATGAGCTTAACGCCCAACTGCTTTAAAATATAGTATCAAAAAAGATAAACATCAACCCTTCATGCCTCATCATTATTTCCTTAAATGACCACACATGTGACATGACGTGAACCCAATTTTAGGTAACTCAAATCACCTACTTCTTTATTCAATTTTTTACCACATAACAAACACTCATTCATTAGTTCTAAAAATCTTACTAATTAAAGCGCGTCGAGACACCGCGTCGAGACACGTTAACATGTAAAAATTTAAGTATTGTACCTTCTATATTATTTGAAAATTTTATGACGAATACTCTATCAGTTTTTAAAGTAAGAATGTCGATAAACTCTTAAATTTGCTATTCCAATAAGAGTTCTATGACAAGTAATACTATAATGCATCATTTTTTTACTCTATACTTATTGATATCACGAACAACGATAGTTAATAAGAAATTTTCTTCTCTTATTTTTTCATGTAATTTTCTCCTCTTTTTCTTTTCCTGCATATTAAAACAATAAATAAATAAAATTCAAATATGAATTAACAGTAAGAGTTTTACTATATAGACTTTTTAAATTTTGTAAATCATGATCACTCAACTGAACATGAACCATAGAGGTTAGACCGGTGCTTACCGGGGACAAGAAGCCCCCCTCACTTTGAGGCTGGTGAGACTCAATCACTGATCATTCTTTCAAAGTTTCACCTCTATAACCAGTTGAGCTGCCCATATGAACACAAATGTCTATATCAAGATATTATATGTGTGAGACTGAGAGTAAAAGTTAAGATTATAAAATTGGAATAATATATTGTACTTTCCTTAAATACTAGCGACAGTAATAGAAGCAGAGGGGTTAAAATCCATGTTTACGCCGCAACGTGTACGCGTACGTAAAGTTGTGTGTTGTAAATGGCGGAGGTGAAGACCGTTTCAACTGGTTGCCGCCTCCGTCACCATCTCACCCACCCCATTATTACCGATCACTTTAGAGTTTAAGCGCCGAATTCCTCCGTTTCGTCTATATCTTCAACATTCATTTCTTGATATACCCTTACCCCTCCGCCCACTCTTTTACCTTTCCAATTTGCGGTTTTTTTTTTACACGACTTCAAACCACTAAAACTTCAACATTTTACGACGATTGTCGTGTTTTGGGGGCTCTTCAGTTTTGAATAGTCTGATCCATCTCTCCCTCTCTCTCTAGACAGAAGCGTCGAGAATCAGCGCCCGTTACCTGCGATTGAAGGAATTCTGAGCATTGGGTTATTAGGTTCCGGTTGGAAATCGTGGAGGGTTGTTTAAAAGTTCACACTTTTACTGGTTATGATTGCTGTTTTCTTCTGTTTGATTAAAAAAAAACTTGGGTTTTTAGTACTGATTGAGAATTGATGAAAACGGGTTGAAATAGAGGGGGAGGAGAAAGAGAAAAACGCAGAGAAATTTGGATATGGAAAAAGGAGGAAGAATGAGGAGTGAAGGGGAAAGAGAGGAATCAAAGGGTATATTAGCAGTGGTTTCAACTTTTATTGTCTTTGTAGTTGGAGTGGTGATTGGGTTGGCTTCAAGCACACACATTAACAGATACCTCAGTTTCCAAATCCAACAGTCCAGCAACACTATCTTGCTTGACACAGGAATGGGGTGTGATTGTAAGGGTTATTTGAGTTTGGAGAGTTTTGTGAGGCCAAGCAATTTGATTCATGGTATGCAAGATGAGGAGTTGTTCTGGAGGGCATCTTTGGTGCCTGAAAAGAAAGAGTTCCCATTTCAGAGAGTGCCCAAAGTGGCCTTCATGTTCTTGACTAGAGGTCCATTGCCTCTGATGCCATTGTGGGAGAGGTTCTTTGAGTGGCAGGACAAGAACAAGTACTCCATTTATGTGCACACGCCTCCCGGATATGAGCTCATAGCAGCCAATACCTCTGTTTTCTACAGGCGCCAGATCAAGAGTCAGGTACATTCCCATTCCATTCTTTCTCGAGAGATTCATAATTGGTGCCCCGTCCTGCATATTTTGTGACTAGTGTGTTGTTTTGGGTAATTCTATTGTTATAGAGAATGTGAATATCTACTCCATTGGTTTGGTTTCACAAGAAAGTTTAGAGTACTCGAACTTTCAATGGCCGTTGATAGGTAGGGTATATAATATGTTCTTCTGCTAGTTATCTTTAGATTTGAAGCAAAAAACAGTTGTTGGGGCACCTCATCGTACTTGAGCCAAATGTTTCAGAGTTGATATTTTGTAATGTAATTAGTATTATAAAACATTGATGTGTTTCAATTCCCTAGAGCAACTTAAATAAAACTCATGAGAAATGAAGCTAGCTTTGAATTATGAATACTAAGCTTTAGGAGAAGTTACAAGGTCCATTTGAAACTCTGCATGCCATGGATGGCAGAGGAAGATGAAGGATAAACCGAGCTAGACCATGAATCTATGATTACTGTGAAAGCTAAGGTTCATACAATCATACCAATCTACTGGGCTTTTTCTCTGTTAAGATAATTCTTTGTTTGAATGAATGATTAGAAGTGGTTTATTCTGGGTGTAAACATTTTTTTAGACCTTTAAGAGCATGTTACTTACCATATCTCAAGTTGAATAGTTACTCAATGAATTATGAATTATTATCTGGCTCAAATATCCTAAATCAAGAAAGCATGGATGCGGGAATGTGTTTTTAAAAAAACTGTTTTTGTGCCAGTTTACTAATCCGTTTTAGTTATTTCTTTCAGAAAGTTGAGTGGGGATCAGTATCACTGGTTGATGCAGAGAAGCGGCTTCTAGCCAACGCCCTTCTCGACTTTTCAAACGAACGGTTTGTTCTTCTGTCTGAGAGCTGTATCCCGGTTTATGATTTTCCAACTGTCTACAAATACCTCACTGAATCAGATCATAGCTTTGTCGAGTCATATGATGATCCATCTCGCTATGGGCGTGGGCGCTATAGTCGCCGCATGTATCCCGACATCAGACTTCCAGATTGGAGAAAAGGGTCTCAATGGTTCGAGATGGACCGTGCTTTAGCTATCATAGTAGTTTCAGACACCAAATACTACAACCTTTTCAAGAATTACTGCCACCCTTCTTGCTACCCAGATGAGCATTACATCCCGACATATCTGCACATGTTCAACGGGCCTATGAACGCAAACCGCTCTGTGACTTACGTGGACTGGTCGCTAGGCGGTCCCCACCCAGCGACTTATACAGCAGTCAACATTACTGAAGGCTTCCTGGAAAGCATAAGGAATAACGGTACATCGTGTTCTTATAACTCTGAGGAAACAGAAACTTGTTTCCTATTTGCTAGAAAGTTTGCTCCAAGTGCTCTAGAACCCTTGCAAAACCTGTCCTCCAAAGTGATGGGATATTGAAGTTTTGCTGCGTAGAGAATGGTCTAATTTTTCTCCACTATGATGCCAGAGGTTTTGGCATTTCTACCATTTAGGTTATTCAGTTTCATTGTTTTATTGGAGCAGTGTATAGTATAGAACATCAAGAGGAATTGGTCCAAAATTTTATGACCATCTAATATTAATTTTAGGACATTGGTTTCCTAGCACAAATGAATCTCTCTTTGCCCTAACTAACAAAACTGCCAGAAAATTGCACAAAACCAAACTGTCCAAACATCACTTTTCAGTTTTCAAGACCACTAATCTCTTAACATATATAATAAGGTGACAGGGGAATGTTAAGGGATGACAAATTCTGCAAATGTATTTTATTCTGTGTAACAAATGCAAATATTACAACTATATGTGGAAGTTGAGAACAGCTGAGGGCTGCATTGTATTTATGAAGAACTCTTTAATCTCAGTCAGAGCTACTACAATATAATATCAAGTGTTTTCTTTCTTGGGTAACATCAATACCTTAGTATGAGGCACAAAGATCACTAGAATGAAACAAAACTTCGCCCTTTCGGAAGCCAAAATCAGAGAATAGTATCTGAAAAAAGAAGCATGGACAACAATGATTTATCTACCAAAAGAATTAAACTGCACTACTCTTCCGGCCATTTGTGGGACTTCATCTTCCTGTCTTGCAGTTGAAGCATGTGGTGATGCCTGCCCTGCCCCATGAGGTCCTACAATCTGACCTGAAGCCCTTTGTCCACCTTGCTGTTCGATAAAGTAGGGAGGTGATGCCTGTTCTGTAAACTGAGGTCTTACATTACGACCCTGCACTTGTTCATATGCACGTGGCTCACCTCCCATGAAGTTTGATGTTGGTGTATGTCCCCATTGAGGTCTTCCAGTCTGTCCTGACATTTGTTCACCTTGCTGTTCGATAAAATAGGGAGTTGATGCCTGTTCTGTAAACTGAGGTCTTACATTATGACCCTGCACTTGTTCAGATGCACGTGGCTCACCTCCCATGAAGTTTGATGGTGGTGTCTGTCCCCATTGAGGTCTTCCAGTCTGTCCTGACATTTGTTCGAAATTGGATCCTTGTTTAAATGCATGTGGCTGTCCTCCCATGACATTTGATGGTGGCGTAAATCCCCAGTGAGGTCTTTCGGTCTGTCCTGACATTTGATTGTAAGTGGATCCTTGTCCTCCCATGGCGGGTGGTGTTGTATGTCCTGCTGATTGAGGATATCTCTCAGACTGTCCTGGCATCTGAGCAAACCCTGACGGCTGACCAGAAAATTGAGAAACTCCTTGTCCAGCCATGACTGTGGGTTGTGATGTCTGTCCTGACATTTGATTGTAGGTGGATCCTTGTCCTCCCATGACGGGCGGTGTTGTATGTCCTGCTGATTGAGGATATCTCTCAGACTGTCCTGGCATCTGAGCGAACCCTGACGGCTGTCCAGGAATTTGAGAAACTCCTTGTCCAGCCATGACTGTGGGTTGTGATGCCTGATGCATTGCTTGATTCTGCCATGACGAGTGGTTTGGAATTTGATGAGCTGCAGCTTGTCTAGGCATTTGAGGAGGCCTAGGTCGTGAATTCGGAAAATAGGTTGGATTTCTGGAAAATAGTGAGTCAATCTCATCTCTCCTGCCTTGGTTTCCAAACTCCTCTAATACAAATTCTTTAAATGCAGAGGTGAGTCCAACGCCATAGTTCACCATCTGGCTAAGCAAATTAAAACTAGCATCATAATTCCCTTCCTGGCAAAGAGCCCTAATAACAATGTCATATGTCATAACATCTGGCTTTGGTTCTCTCTCACCCATCTTTGTGAGAATTGGGACACACTCCAGGACCTTACCTTTGTTAATCAAGAAATTGAACCACTTGTTGGCATAAACAGGAATGACTCTCAAACCTGCCTCCACCATTTTTGTGTACTTCTCCAACACACCATCAATCTTCTCCACCTTAACATAGGCCTCAATCATTGTTCTGTAAGTTGTCACATCTGGATTCAAAGACTTATTACACAACTCAGTATAATACTTCTCTGCCTCCTCCATCATTTCAAGCTCACAAAGCCTTGTGATCATATTATTGAAACCTGCAACATCCATGGCAAAAGGCTTTGACTTAACACTCTTTCCGGCCTTCTTGAAAGTGTCCATAGCCTCTGAAACCTTTCCCAATTTAAAGCATTCATTCACCATAATATTAAAAGTATCAGAATTCACTGCTTGGAAGACTGGGGGTGTGTGATCATCCAACATTGCATCAAATAAATCCAATGCCTCTTTCTCCCTCCCATGCTTTAACAAAACCTCAAGTAATGCATTACACGTTGCAGGAACCATTCTGAACTTTCTGTCTAAAAGATCCTTGTAAGAATCCATAGCCTCCCTCTCTTTCCCCTGTTTGAAAAACCAATCCATAAAAGTTGCATTCACAGTTCCATCATAAACCAGACACCTCTCTTTAAGCTCATCAAAAAGCTCATTTGCTTTCTCCAAATTCCCTAATTCTAGAAACCCTAAAATAATATTATTGTAAACTAATGAGTCTGCACCATGACCCTTGTTGAGCATTTCCCTGAGAAAATCCACAGCTTCATTTATCCGCCCTGAGTTGATTAGACCCTTAGTAAGATGCCGATAAGTCACATATGAGGGGCTAAATGGGGCATTTTCAAGTATGTGATGATAAACTTTTATGGCTTCATCAACTTCTCCGGAATCACAATGTGAAACAATAAGGTTGTTGTAGGATACGACATTAGGAACAATGTTAGACTGATTGAAGAAGTACTGAAAAAGGGCCTTCGCATCGTTATACCTGCCAGCTCGGTACATAGCGGCGATAATGGCGTTGCAGGTGAAGACTGTGGGGCGGGTGTTTGAGAACACCGAGTGCCGAGCAACAGCTGCGGCGGAGTCGAGGTCTCCAGCTCGTATGAGGGACTGCACGCGGTTGTGAAGGTTCAGTCTAGGCCCAACTAGCGCGGAGGTGGAGTCAGGGAGGCGAGACCGGGGATCATCGGAGGGAGGAGGCCTCGGAGCAGGGTCGCGGCGTAGGGCACCAAGTGGAGGCTCGATGCGGAGCCGGCGCTTCCTGCGACGGCGCTCCGCTGCGGCCTCCTCGGCAGAGGAGAAGGCAAATGATCGGTGAGGGAGAAGAAAGCTGGGATTTTGTAGGTGATTTACGGAGATGAACTGAGTTCGGGCGGCGGCGACGCTCGTGGTGGCGCTAGCGGAGGAACGGCGCAGTGAACGGAGGAGGATCCGATACAGAGTCATGGCGACTGTGCTTGGGGACGAAGTTGTATCAGAAACCCTAATTGAGTGAAAATAAGCTTAGAGAAGAAATGTCCAGAAAGGGGTTAAGGGAAAACCTTAAACCCTTCGTCCCTCTTACATATATACACCTGTAATTTCTGCGAATTCTTGGGTCATATTGTCATATTCTATTCGAATGGCCATTTAACGTGAAAATTAAGGATATGACGACTTTAGGTAACGTTAAATTGAGCAAAAATTTAATTAGGAAATTTTTATAAAGAAATTGCAATAGTTAAGGATTTCAGTTGGTATAATAATCTTTTAAAACATCCATAGCTAAGTTTTTTAGGTTGTTGACTTGATATTCACAAAGTTACAAGTTTAACGTTGCGACCTATTGATCTTCATGATTTGAGTCGGTCAATTATAGCTGATTTGCGGTTCCTTGTCTACTAAAGTCACAAGACAAAGACAGAATTTATTCGGTTTATACCCTCAAATAAGCTAGTTTACCTCCTTAAAATTATTTCTCGACAAATATCACAATAAAATAGCACAATTGACTTTATTAGGATTGTCTATTAACATTCTTAGTTTGAATAGTGTACGCAATTAGAATGGTCGGACCACTCTAATAAATCATCTTCTTTTTTTTTTTTTTTTATATTTGAATAAAGATCTGAAAGAAGACAGTCAACAAGTTAATGAAGATAATCATCTAACCACTCCTCGCAATCAGACATAGAAACACCTTCCTTTACAATAGCATGGACAGCACGATTCACAGATCGCTTCGCAGCGCAAAAGACGACATCATTTATAGAATTATAGTAAATGCGACTTCCTTAATATCAACAATGAGAAAACCAAAAGCAGAATACAATGAGTCTGAAAATAAAGTGTAATAAACTATCTGGAAATCAGTTTCAACATCAACATCTCCCATTTCAGTCCCCTTCAAACAACTCAGAGCTTCACGTATACATAAACTATCTGAAAATATTTTCTTCTTAAAAATGTAAATATAGAGACTATGCATTTATGCACACCAATTATTATTCTGTGATGAAATATGGAACATTTACAAATTAGTGAATTACACACTTATTAAAGAATTATAGGGAGAGAAAAAAAAAGTGTGCCCAAAAAAGGCATTTGAAAATTTTAAAAAACAGCAAAAAATTCTTATATATCTGCAGCAGCTTTCCAATGCCATTCTGAAACTGTGACACTGCATCATGGGAGCTTCTGTAGTCTGTACAATGATGTTTTGTGTTCTTTGGCTGTGAGTACAATAGTGGGATTATCAGACCATTCTGCAGTTCTTGTTATTGAAACGGATCAACCCAACACTTATCTTGCTCAGCACCTCTCTCCCACCGGTTCTCAAACGCCCTCATTTCATCGTACGATCGTTTCCTCACCTGCAAAACATCATAGTACTTCACTGCAATCACACAAAATCTCAGAGGTGACAACAACAGTTGCTACTGATAACGTACCTCGGGTCTATTATCCGGCTTATGGACTGATGGAGGAGTTCCCTGTGAAGTCAAACAGAATTTTCGAATCAGATACAGTAAGAAACCGGGGGTCTGAGGAAGGGAAGAATGTCTGGTTAAGGAAAGTTCGATCCAGTCTAGAGATATACCAATGTTTCTGAATCAGCGAGGTTGTTTTTAGGCGGGGAATGGTCGCTCGAACTCAGCTGTACAGATCAATGAGAGTATCGAGTAGTAGTCAGACCAAGCTCAGAAACAGTTTCCTAAGTTATTTATATTGTTATAAATTAAGATTTGGCTAGAGTCACTAAACCATACTAAAAGATTGAATTCAACCAATTAGCTAGTCTAACCCATGGACTTATAAACCCATATGCTCTCTCTCTTATTTTATCAATGTGGGACACTTAACATCTATCAATCTAGAGATGTAGGTTTAGGATGTTTTGCCATTCAAAGCAGCAAAATATACATGCCTTTTGTCTCTTTGGATCGCCACCAAGCGTAGGAAGACCGAGATGGTATACATATTCTGCATCAACAATTCCAACTTTTTTCGTCCTATCTCCCTGAGGAAATGATCCCGACATATCACCAACACGCAAACAAAATGATCAGACCGGAAAAGGAAAAACAAAAAAAAAGTATAAGAGTTGCGAGAGAATTTACCTGTGCACAGTATCCAAGCTTCTTATCTAAACCCCACGCATGGATCAAATCGTTCTGTTATATAAACGAAACTAATATAAGAATCACATTACGACAAATACAGAAGGAAAAGCACGAGATATTGTCGAATTACCTGGATCATGTACCAAGCACAACGCCAGGCTGCTCTCGAAAACACAGGTGCCATCATTTCTACCCATCTACAAGACATATTTGCATACCATTCAAGTAAGTTAAGTAAAAAAAAATGCTAGAACGAAACTTTCTGAAACAGAAACAGGTGCAAAAGATCGAGAATTCTTTACCCTACACACGGGGGAGCAGTACTATTGTTGTTGCATCCTTTCGCGTTTACTGTATAGAACCTCCTGGTCAGAGGGCAATCACAGAACAGACCAGTTAAAATACGAAGTATTAAACAAAGAATGTGGCAAAAAACATGACAGTTCAGCAAACTATAGAGCCTCGGGTTCCTAGTACGATGAACAATTCTGTAATATATTGATCAGTTCAAAGGCGATTTCTATCTAACCTGTGCACTTTAGAATTCCTTCTGCGCATTGTGATGCGGTGATGTATCTCTGATTTTCTAGGATCGAGTCCAGGCTGAGATATTTCGAGACCCTCTTCTTTAACAATTGATATATACCTTCACGAAGAAACACAAAAATGTTCAGAATCAGAAACCATTGTTAGCTCGCTTACGAGCCAGTCAATGAAACTATTTCCATTTTCCAGTACCTTTTTGGGTGAAAATTTTCGATTCCAAGGTCCTCGTCCCATAGGAAGATATAGTCGTATTCAGCAACGATATCTGGGTGTAGAAACCGCTTGGCAAACCACCTGAGATTAACGCAAATTCAGAGACTAATTATACAAGATTATAGAGATAACGACTTGAATTGCAATGAACTCGATCTTACCATTTTGTTTGATTTATGGCAGATACATGTATGACACGCCTATTCCACTCGAGATTATTCCATTCATCCACAACACCATCGTAGTGAAATAGCATAACAACAAAATCGTTCTCAAGGAACTGCAATTGTACAATGAAGAACTACTTAGAAGAAGAACACAATGTAACATGTTACTAGGAAACTAGGATTGAAAGGGATAAAGAGCAGTCACCATCTTAACAATTTGGTTCACTAATTCTTTTTGTTTTATCCCAACTGGAACAGCCAACAAATTCACTGGATTCTTGGATTTTTCCTGGTTCAAAAACATCGCATAAAAGTGAACATAGTACAAAGAAACATTCAAGATCTCGAACAAAACCTAAGCAACAGCAGAACCAAACAGGTAACATAGAAATATGAAAGCAAAGAACATCATTAACTATATGTCAGAACTCAGAAGTTACTAACGTTTTCTCTGACAGGACCCCATAAAGGGTGCATCTCCAAATTCGAAGTTTTAGAAACAATTCCCTCTGGTAGTGCCTCGCTACCAATAGGCCTGCATTTGCCCTAAGAGACAGAAATGGATAAGTTTTATACACACAACTCGGGCTGGAACCCCCACCCCCGAAAGAGATAATTCAAGAAACACCAATATAATTAACAGGGTAATATAAAGTAATTATCTGTACCACGCATTTACCAGTCTGGGGATTCTTTTCTTCAACACTCGCTTTAATGTCCATTGCAGATGATACCTACATATCAATTTCAAGATTAATCGGTCACAACATTAATGCAAACAACAAGACTTTCAAAAAAAAAAAAAAAAACTAATAAACGGACCTCACATCTACACGGTTTTGCTCTCTGCATCGAGTAACTCATTCCAAATTGGACAGGAATCTGCACAAAGTTCGTTTTTTTGAATGTTAAAACTTAAAAGGCTAATCAACCAAACAAGAATGCATGAATCATCGAGTTCTATTCATAAAAATAAACTCTGAATTGATAGAAGCTATTTGCCTTATAATCTCTTCCAAAGAATACATTTCCTGTGAAATATACGCCACAAATTAGCGCGGCTGTGACAAGGAGACTGCAGAGGCACGATCTAGTTTTAGGATCTGAGAGTGCAGTAACCTGAAAGCGTAACAGAAGGCAAGCAAAATTATAAGAAAATGGGAACAAATGCTCAAATTCCATCTCACAATTTAAAGAAAAAAACAACATATATTTCATCCAAATGTTTAATTTCTCGTATTCATAGTACAGATAACAACACTGAACAGTCTGCACAGGGATGTTTTTCCAGAATTTCACCAGAACAAAAACAGTCTGTAGAAATTACACTTATCAATTGTCACAGAAAACTGAAGAAGTATCATATTCCCAACTCCAGTTCTCAAAATTCAGTGGATACCCCAAAAGACCATACAAATGTAACATGACACTAGAAACAAAATCCAAACAGGCAAAAGGCAAAAAACAGCCTTTTTTAGTACAGACCAAAAAAAAAAAACACCTCATTAAAACTTACAAAACAGTATAACATATGCTGACAAAGAAAAATCTTGTTACCCAGTTTTCAGAAATCAATGGGTACTCAACAAACAAACAAAAAACTAATGTAATACAACACTAGAAACAAAACCCAAATCGAACAAAAGCAATAATGTCTACTTTGTTCCTCTTTTTTGTACAGAGCAAAAATTTTCTCAGCAATCAAACATTGAGCATCCAATACAAAATAGCACCAAAACTATTTTCCCAAATGTTCCCTGAAAGTACAAAAAAGGGGCATATGCAAAAGCATTCAAAAGTTCATTTCTTTTCTATTCATCCCACGCTTTTCTTTTCACCACCCCCATAAAGTCAGAAACATAGTCAAGGGAAACACAAAAAATCACTTCTTGCTCCTTAAAAAACAACCATAATCAAACATTCAGCAGCAAATAAAGACAGAAACTTCAAACTCAATTCGATCGCACAAACAACAATATTTGTATTTGCACTTACAGTGTTTAATGGCTTCATAATTTCATGAATAAAGCCGCCCCGGCCCGAGGATTTACAATGAGAAAGGAGGTTGATAAGCAACAGGAGAAGAAAAAGAATGGCGGCGCTTTGACACTTTCAAGGAAACAAGAAAAACAGTCGAAGCATCGTCGGATAAAAGGAAAGCATAAGAAGAGAAAGTTAAGAGAAAGAAGGCAATAAAGGTATTCGAATCATATTAAGCACAGAATGAATCCACCGCCTTTAATAAGTCCCCGATAAACGACGTCGCTTCAACCCCAACCAACCTCGAAAGCCAAAAACTTTTCAAAATATTTCACGGCTCCACCACACCACCGCCGTAACCAACGGCAAAGAGTTACACATACAAACACCGAAAATATACGTGTGTATACATACATATATATATATATAGAGAGAGAGAGAGAGAGAGAGATAGAGAGTAGAAAGAGGAAAGAGAGAGAGAGATATCGGAGAAGAATCGAACAGGACACAGATAAGTACTAGAAATGCTGGTTCGGTTGCCATTACAGTACGACATAAGCAGAAACGTGTTTGGAAGTGAACGCGCGACAGCGAGAGTGAGAGAGAGAAGATGGAAAAAAGTGGTCCGAGGAACACGGTGGCACAAACAGCCGTGCGGCGACGTGAGACGAGCTGTCTTCGCGTGAGTTTAAGGTTTAAAGAGTAAATACTCGCCTTCTTATTTGACCACGTGGTGTAGGTGGACCCCGCCATGATTTTGGATAATCCATGATTTAAGTCATTTTCCCATGTGATTAATTAAAATGAAATAATCATTTACTTTTAAAGCAACAGCAGCCTGTTTAGTACTTTAGTTTGTATATAAAAATTGCGAATGAATTTAATTTATAATTAATGAAAATATTTACATATACCTTTCAAAAAATTACTTATAATATTTATTTCATTGTTTGGTTGAGTAAAAATATAGTATTGAGAATAATTAGTATAATGATTCAAATAACATTAAATAATAAAAATATTTGAAGATAATATAAAAATTAATGTTATATCTTTTTCCGTGTAAAAAATAAAATTTCAAAAAAGAGTAAAAAATTTTTTTCTCAATTTTGAAAATTTAATTTTTTTTTATAATAAATTTTTATTAATCAAATAATAAAAGTAAAGTCTATTTTTCTTCTCCTTTGAACCAAACAGGTAAGGTTTTGGGTTGAATATGATGGGAGCTTGGACGTGGGTTGTAGTGGTCTATTATTGATGTTAATGGATGTGACAAATATTTTATTATTATTATTATAAAAAATGTATTTTGAAAAGTTACATCATCAACGATTCTATGAGAATATTTTTTTATTGTGTAATGTTCCTTGCCAAATACTACTTTTCAATTGCAAGTGAAACGTTGCTTTACAAACAAAATTTTTAAAAAAAAAAATCACAAAACAAATCTATATTTTTACTTTTATAATGATAGTAGTATTTTATATGCGCAATGTACAAAAATATATGTCCAATATTAATACCTAATGCTAAAATCTTAATACATTAAAATATTTTTATTTTAAATAATAGCATATAATTTTATTTTATTTTTAAATTCATAGTTGTAGATGATAGGGTTATAGGGCAACTCACTTGCCCCGCGGAGCTCACTAGTGTATTATTCGACCTCATTAGTGCACTTCCCGATCTCATTAGTGTACTTACAGGTCTCTCGAGCATATTTTTCGACCTTGAGAGTGCATGCCTACTTTTCGATCTCATTGTTAGTAGACCTCCTGGTCTCGTTAAATTAGTAGTAGACCTTCTGGTCTCAATATATTAGTAGTATACCTCATTTGTCTCATTATCAACTAAACTTACCAATCTCCTTGTATATAGACTTCCCGACCTCGTCCAGTCGGGACGACTATTGTGATATAAATATCAAAACAAAGCCAAACAATTCCGAGCACAACCAGTCTCATCCATAACTAAACAATGATCACCAAGCATTTCATCACGTAATTAAACCCCTAAGGATACGTGGCAAGCCTAGCTTCGCTGCCCGATCTCCTTAGGATATGTGTGGAGGACATGCTGAGCACCCGTCACGTGTCCCCTCTTCCATCCCTATATAAAGGACATTTATTGCACATTGGGAGGAGGGGGACAGACTTTTGGCTCCCAACCTACACTACTCCACTCGAAGCTTCCCGACCTGTGGTCGGACCTTTAGTTAACTTCCTGGCCATATTGTTTCACCTATAATTAGATCCCCAATCACATCTATCACCCGCAATTGATTTTCCGGTCACATCCACCCGACCTGAAATAATTCACCCTAACAGTCGTTTTTATATTATTATATTAAAAGTATAATTGATCATTTAATTAATAATTATGGTATGATTAATATTATTCAAGTAATAATTTCATATATGATATATTACTAAATATAATACATTTAATTAAAACCTAAGTAAAAAAATAATATAAGAAAAGATATTATGTATGCATGTGCATGGTAATAATAGAAAAAAAATCAAATAAATAAAGAATATACTAATTTATTAGATTATTTAGATTCTGAAATATTCCCTAATTCTTAAAAGTAAACTCTTATATTGTACATAAACTTTCAAGAGTTAATATAATGTTTCTGTATTTATAAAACTTTTCTTTTTAAAATTTATATATAGAAACTTCATACATTTCAAAGGTGTTTATCTATTTTTAAAAATCCAACAATACACTTTAAAAAATACGGAATAATAAATAATTAATATTTATGTATATCTAAATAAAATATTTTTATATACACTTGAATTTTTTATATTTATATTTTTTCTCACATTTTCCGTTTCTCCATTTGTTCATTTTCAATTTGTGTACAACCTAGATGGACTCTACTGCTATATCATCTAAAAGCTATAGAATGAATATACGAGTTATGACTCAAAATAGAATTCGATTTTTTTCTTAAAAAAAAAAAAACTTTTATGCACATCTGTCAAGCGCTAAAGTGTAATCTGTAAAATATTTCAAGATTAATAAATTATATTTATCTTTAAATTTTGATTAAGAAAGTGAGAAAAAAAATATTACAAATTGTTTGAATTTGACCCAAATTCAGTAGGATTATATATTAGGATTTGATTTGTATGTACCAACAATAACTACTAATTATGGAATATTATTAACATAAGAGTTATTTTTAGTACTAAATCAAGTCTTACTTTATTTCTCATAAATTTATGTTGACAAATGTTAATCACATCCCACTGACAATTATTTATTAAGAATTAATAATATGAACTACTATAATTAATACTTTAGTAGTAACTAGTCTCATTTATTCATAGTTGAAAATGGTGAAAGAATATTTATGACGTCTATCATCTAATGGCAAATACAAATGTATTTTAAGCACTTTGGATCAACAGGTCGTTGTAGTATAGTGGTGAGTATTCCCGCCTGTCACGCGGGTGACCCGGGTTCGATCCCCGGCAACGGCGCTTGCGTTTTTCTTATAAAGCCATTTATATCCTTCTTCATCAAATCACCATGCAAAATAAGAAATGTGAAAAGCCATTTATAGCCTTCTTCATCAATCACCAAGCAAAATAAGAAGTTTGAAAAGCCATTTATAGCCTTCATCAATCACCAAGCAAAATCTCCAATAAGATTGAAACCTCTCACGATACTCATAAAAGTAAAAATCAATTAATTGATCATAATAATTATTTGATTTTTTGAAAACCAAAGAACTTCATAACTAATAAGGAACCAACTCCGAAATACAACTGGGTTGAATGGAATCCCACACACCAAGGATAGAAATTTGATCAGTCGTCCGTGCAAGGACATAAGCTACGTGATTAGCTGACCTTCTGACATGACAGACAATAATAAATATTTGATTTAAAAGTATAATTATTCCATTTTCTATAATAAATTTATTCATACTTAATATTACATTTTTCATCATAAATATTACATTTTCATCCGAACCGATTCATCTCAGGGTTAAGAATTTGTGAGACGATCTCACAGAAGAGTCACCATAATAACCTGGGAGTGTGGTTGAGTAAAAGTAACTCATCCATCATTGACTTTGAGTATGGAACAAACTTAAACCTCCAGGCTAGCTGTCTCACCAAATGAAAATGTCTACAATTCAGCGAAGGGATTAGTCACTATGTTCAACGGTGAAAACCTTAGGCTACACCAAAAAAAAAAAAAAAGTCAACATAACCTAAATGCTGATTTTCTCAATAAATGTTATGCCATTGAAGGTGATGAAAACCAATTCACAAAACAACACCATTATTTTGCAGAAAATACTTGAAACAGAAGGCTAATTGTCTAAGGAAACAACCATAACAGAAGCTCCCAGCCAAAACCCAACAAGGTTTTTAAAGGTTTTAAAGGATAGCATGGCATATGTTCATCAGCCTATGCATGTATACATAGATAGAGATAGATACAGGTTCTTGGAGCCTACAACTTTTTTTTTTTTTTTTTTTTTTTTTTTTTTGTCGCATTTTGAATGTTGTGCTGAGTTGTGGGTATGAACAGCACAGGCTACCTACCTAGTGGGCTTTTGGAAAAGCCAGCTTGATAGCATCCTTCAATGGAATTGCATTCTCTTCACATTGACCTTCCTTCCAAACCTTGTACTTGAGTGCTTGAAAATTTGATTGACTCCAATTCTTCAAAAACGACAGATTATACTTCTCGTTTCTTTTGTTCATCCCAGAAATATGCCACACGAGTGCCTCTGGGTCCTCGGTTGCAACCTCCTCCGCCTTTTCAGCAGCATTAGATTCATTTATATCACTAGTCCCAAGCTTGTGGCTTTTTTCTGTTTCCAGCTTCCGTTTCATAGGCTGATTTTGCCTTTTAACATAGCAAGCCACAACCTTCGGCTTTTCAATCACTTCACCCGTTGTTTGCTTCTTGTGGCTGTTTTCTGCGTCCTGTTTGGCATCCATTGGCTGATTTTGGGTTTTATCGCCTCCAGACCCTTCGTGATCACGAGATTCTGTCAGATTAGCCGTTGCCTGCTTTGGCTTCCTATGAGTGTAAGTCAGAAAGACAGACTTTTCACCACCACCGGGTTTCATCACAGCAGCCATGGCGGCTATGTTTTCTGTTTCCCGCTTGACCTCCATAGGCTGATTTTGAGTTTTGCCCTCGCAAGTCACAGCCTTTGACTTTTCATCACCGCCACCTTCAATCACTTCACCCGTCGTTTCCTTGTGGCTGTTTTCCTTGTCCAATTTGACATCCATTGGCTGATTTAGGTTTTGATCATTATCACGAGATTCTGTCAGATTAGCCATTGCTGGCTCGCGGGTTTCTTCGTTTTCCAGATTGGCATCTGGCTTCTGCATTTGCGTTTTATCACTGCAAGTCATAACAACAGACTTTTCATCATCATCGAGTTCCATCATTGCTATGTTTTTTTTTGTTTCCAGCCCGACATACCTTTGAGAATCTGGTTTTTCGTTACCAGGCAAAGCTCCTTCCTGCTGGCATGTCTTTAAGCTCTTCGACTCCTTATTTGCAGTTGATTGGAGAGGCTGTCCGGTTTTGCTAGGCTCGTTTTCTTCACAAGAACAAGAAGCAAATAATTCAGTACAAAATAATCCTCCATAAAGCAATGCAATATAACAGGGTTCCCATGTATATATACAATTGCACAAGAGATTAAGAGCCGAAGAAAACAATGGAATTGATGGATCGATAAAATAATTGAATTAGCAATGCCAAGGAAGCTCAAAAGCATTGAAATTCGAATACCTTTGGAGACGACTATTGAAGGTGATTCTTGTGAGGCTCCGTTTTCTTTTCTTTCGCTGTTGATGTCCTCAGGAGTATTGTCACGCTCTTCTATATCCGGAATCACCACGGGGACTTTTTGTAATAGCTTAGACACTCCAAATGGATCGTCAAGATTCTTTTTCATGGCCAAATACTCATATAGAGTAGAAGCAACAGTCAAGGTGAACTCTGAATTTTGTTCTTTATATCGGGAGAGAAGAATATTATTACACATAAATATGTAATATAAGTTAATAAAATGTTATAGCAAAACAGTTCAAATAATCAAAACATATATGCCACATCTTAAAAGGATATTCACGCCTCCACCCTTTCTCATTTGCCATATTGATGAGGTTTTGCAATCTAGCCCGTTCTCTAGGAATCCACTGACACATTTAGAGAGAAATTAAAACATATGAGAAATAATTCATTTTGTTAATGCAACCTCCTAAACCATCCTCGAGACAGTTTAATTTCATTGAAACGTCAACAAATTTAGCACAGTTTTTCACGATAAATATGCAGTTCTCGTAATCGAGTTTAAAGTTTAAACACTCTAGAATCCAAACCCAAAACCGAGCACTTCTTTAACAATAAACTACCATGAACCTTACATGCTTCACAATATCCTCGTGCAGACTTGTTGCTTTCTGTTGAAGTTCTACCTGTAAAAAAAAAAAAAAACAATGGTCTCGTGACAGTTTAATCCCGTAATATCAAACGCTTGAAATTGTAAGCATCGACCTAATGGACTAGATTTGTGTTACAGAAGTTCACGCAAGTATGAGTAACATAAACACAAAAACTATAAGCAACTAATTACTAACCAAAATAGGCTTCTTCAGCAGGCCAGCTTTCACCTTCTGTCGCAATTCTGCACACTCCTCCTACAAATATGTTAACACAAACTCATTAGAAAAATTCAAGACAAGATCAAAAGGCAAAGTAAAATGGTAAGAAATATTCATTACTACCATCAAGGTTGAAAAAATCGCTAGGCGCCTGGGGACTGCCTAGGGCGCCTAGAGCGCCTAGGCGCGATTTTTGCAACACTGACTAGCATCAGTCACTCCTATATTGTATCAGATGACTCAAGAAAGTACCCGGAATGGCCAATTTCACAGGCAATTGGTCTGATACTAAAACCATGGGCAAAATAAACGAAACAAATAAAAATTACATGAACTAGGTTAGGTTACCTCTGAAAATTCGCCATCAGAGAGCATGCTCAAGGAGATATCATTCGGCATATTTGAAACACGAAGCATAACCTCATCATTTTCTTCGGCAACTGAAGCACACCTAATGCCTAAGGAAACTCAAGAGGGTTAGGGTTAAACCACATTGAAGAATCAACGGAGAAAATTGATAGACATCCGATGAAAATTTAAGGTATGGAAATATTTGGTTCGGAATGATTAATTAATAGGTGGTAATTAAGGCTAACCTGTGACTTGCTCAAGTTGAAATGAGCTCCTAATCCTAGGGCGAATATCATTTGGATTTGATTTGACCCGAACAAAACTCCCTACCACCTTGTTTTGAAATTCTTGAGGTTGTTTGCACAACAATTGCACCAAGCCCTTCTTCAAGTAAACAAGTTTAATGTTTTCTGGAACAACGGCAGCATAACGACTCTGGAACATATTCCCCAACCCTTCCTTCTTGGGAATACCCTTGCTTGATTTTGGCTTATCATTGCCCGATTTTGGCTTATCATTGCCTGATTTTGGCTTATCATTGCCCGATTTAGGCTTATCATTGCCTGATTTTGGCTTATCACTGTCTGGTGACTTTTGCTTTCTTTCCACTTCATAGGTCTCCACAGTTTTTTCAGCTCCATCTTCAATATCTTCGGAAATCTCGTCATCCTCTGACTCCTCTTGGTTCGCAGCAAAATGACCTTCGAGGAGTTTAGGCACACTGTTCTTATTGACCTCCTTCCTCCTTAAGATAGATTGCAACTTGGAGTCACAAATAATCTTCCTTTTCTTAGTTGGGTGGAAAAGCTTGTTTTCTTTAACATATCGAAGTATAATCCTTTCCACATCATCCGGTGATAATTCTTCTTTTGTATCCTCACCAATCAAATTAAGAAACCGCATGAGAGCTTCAGAACCCCAACTATGAAATACCATTTTTTTAGATTTCTCCTTTTTATGAGAATTGGTCTTTTGAATTTTCAATTTCTTCCTTCTTTGTCCATGTTTCTGTCCTCCCGAATCATATCCATTTTCATCAGAGTCAGATGACAAACGAACCTCATCTTCACCTTCATTAGTTCCATCAAAGTCAGAATCACTTTTGTCCTTGTCTAGTCGGATTTTAGCTTTAAGAACAATATCTCCATCAAATCCTTCCTTTTCCCTGATAATCTCATAATACTCTCTGAACAGGCCCTCATATGTTTCCCGGTCCTTTAAGTCCACACTTTCCTGAGAAGCAACAGGAAAATATTACCACCATTAACATGACGACGAAGAATGATAAAAGTGATGTGAAGATGAGGATGAGACCACAGGAAAAAAAAAAAAAAAAAAAAAAAACAACAACAACAACAACAAATGCCAGTATTCTAACAATTTTTATTTTTTTTGGTTGCCCAAAGGTATCCCTCCAGCCGATAGCCAGAAGACTAATCCCCCGTCCCTACTGTCAGCACACTAAGTGGTAGGGATATTGATTAGAGCCTATAGGTAATTCCGTTATTCTTCTCCATATAGCATTGCCTTGGCCAAGCGAATATGTCCAAGACAATATTTCTTCTAAAAAAAGAGTACCTAGTAGTTAACGCCCAAGAATACATAATATAATTTCAGAAAATGCAAATCCAATTGTTAGGCATACATACCCCTTCTGAGTCGACATCCATATTTTCCTCTACAAGCAGTGCTAGCTTTAGACAGTCATTGCAAAATCCATACTTTTTATTAACACGCACAAATTTTGCATCACTTGTGCACCGACGGCACACTGCATTTGGACAGCAATAGCAATGGTACCTTGAAGCTCTATCGCAAATCAAGCAGGAGTGCCATTCTGGGAAATAAATATAATTAGTACAATATGCGTTGCATTACAGCAAATCTATAATAGATAAATTTTAATTAAAATAAGCTCTATAGGAAATTGTTCAACTTGTTAAGAACCTTAAATGTCAAGTCAAGCATGGATATAGTGAAACTCGTTTTCATTCATTTTTAGAACAAATATAAGTAAAACATTCTCCTTAAAGCATATATATAAGGAGAGTAATAGTAGCTTGTAAGAGATCAAAGGCAACACTAAATGGATCACCTGCATTTACAGTCAAATTCAATTCACCGGTGTTTTGATATGTTGAGAAATTAAATATGCACCCTTATTATTAATTAGGAAGACATGAGAAGATGGCAGCATAGGCAGTGAAACTTCGGTATTTATTGACAAATATATATGCTAAAGATTTGTTGATCGCTAGTCTTCTCTCACAAAAAATCAAACATCCTCTCATGTATATCAACTTGAAAGAGTTAATGTGTAATAACGGATTAAGGAAAGAAATCTTATGAGATAACAGTACAATATGCAACCAAGATGAGAAACCGAGACATTAGCACTAATGTGGAAACAAGAGAAGAGATTTGTGGCTTACTGCATCTCCAACTTTCATCACTCGTCAAAGCTGACTCATCTTTCCCAACGCACTCTGGGTGGTAAGCTTTAACACATTTCCTGTAAAAAAACACACTTTCATTAAATAAATTTACATATAAAGATACTCCTTATTTAGTTTAATATGCGGGAAACTTTCATAACCTCACAAAAACAGAAAACATGTATACCACTTTGCAAGGCAAGCAATCAAGCACTCTAGACTCCACAACCCCTCTTTATAAACGGTTAAAGAGACTTTTTTTAAGAAAAAAAACGTTGAAGCCTTTTGTTGTGATAGATAAGACAGTGCCACAACACTACAACAGTAATTCCAACAATCGCCATTTACTTTGCTCAAACGAAAAAAGAAAGTTAACAAACTATTCAACCATATTAAAAATATATACATAAAAAATAACATCTTCCTCTTCACAGGAAGTGATATTCTCTTTAAGCTGCTAAGGTTTAGTAAAGTAAACCTCAGAGAAATGAAACCAAAGATAAGCAAGGGTCAAAGGAACACCAATGATTAGTACACATGTAGCCAATAGTCAAAAGTTCTTCCCCTTCTCAAAGGCTAATATTATAGGAGCAACAAGCCAACAAAGAATGGTCAATTCATAGTCATAGATAATAAAGCACATGTAGGCTCTTTGTTTGGGCAGATATACAAAGACAAAATTAACCTTGGTTCCAGGCAAAAACCAAGCATGCATATGCTCAAAAGGGCCCATTCTTATTTTTTTCGACCTAGAAATCTGAAAGCTGTCTCTCTCCAGAGTAACACACAGCATAAAGCTTATATGATAAAAAAATAAAATAAAAAATAAAAAAGGGCCCATTTTTTGACCTCAGGAGTTTCAACTCGCCCCTTCTTCCAACTAGCAAAGCTAAAATAATCCGTCAAATTAATCAGATGTTCTATGATTTACAACACACAAAACATTAAAATTGTTTCGAAGAACAAAAGGAATGTCTTAAATGTATTAAAAAAAAAAAAAAAAATCAGCTTCGGGAGAGAGAGAGAGAGAGAGAGAGACCGGTGGTCACAAAGAAGCAGCTCTCCACCATCCTTGCACGCGAAGCACCAGTCCTCGGCGATCACCTCTTTCGTCTGATTCTCCTCGTCGTCTTTGTCCTTCCTCTTCGGCATGGCTCTGCAAGAAAGAAATCAAGACACCCAGACTCAAAAACTCAACTTTCTCTCACCAATGGTTGTTAGTCAGCACCAAAAATTGCTTCTATTTGCTGCAAAGAAAAAAAAAACTATGTCATTGTGAAGTTCCGAGAAAAGTAGACTGAAAATCCTACAGTGATCCCACGAAAAAGACAAAAAAGGCAAGAACCCAGACTCAAGAATGTATCCTTTAACAGTAAAGTAAGAACCTTTTGGCGATAATCACGATAGTTATGGCCGTGCAACGTATGAGAGAGAAGGAAGAAGAGCAAGCAAAATAGAGACCTTAGAATTCGGAAAAGTGATTTTTATATATAAAAAGACAAAACTTACTGCTTATTGACTAGCTACTAACCAAGTTTGTGAAGACTCAGAAATTGGAATTCTTCCCCGCACTCGTTTAACCTGTTGATTTTTTTAGTTGTAAATTGTGAATAAATCAACAAAACGCATCGATTTAGTTTCAGAATCTCATCTTTTTACTTACAGCTGACTCAGTGACAGCCTAAAGTATAATCATTTTAATTTATCCATCTATCAATCGTCTAATCCACTCACCTAATACAACCTAATCATTTCACTTATGAATGCTGAGTCAGTGACAGCCTATACCTGAATCATTTTAATTTATTCATCTACCAATCGTCTAATCCACTCACCTAACACAACCTAATCATTTCAGTTATAAATAGCTGAGTCAGTGACAGCCTATACTTAAATCATCCTAATTTATCCATCTACCCACCGTCTAATCCACTCACCTAACAACAATAATCCACTCACCTAATAAATGCTCTTGTCGGTCCGTGGGGCCCTTAGAGCGTGTATAAATTGTTAATATGTCAACAAAAAACGCATAGATAAAATTTCACAACCTAATCATTTCACATATAAATGGCTGAGTCAGTGACAGCCTATACTTGAATCATCATAATTTATCTATCTACCAACCGCTAATCCACTCACCTAACAACAATGATCCACTCACCTAATAAATGCTCTTGTTGGTCCGTGGGGTCATTAGAGCGTGTATAAATTGTTAATATGTCAACAAAAAACGCATGGATAAAATTTCACAACCTAATCTTTTCACTTATAAATGACTGAGCCACTGACAGCCTAGACTTGAATCATCCTAATTTATTTATCTACCAACCGTCTAATCTACTCACCTAACAACAATGATCCACTCACCTAATAAATGCTCTTGTCGGTCCGTGGGGCCATTAGGGCGTGTATAAATTGTTAATATGTCAACAAAAAACGCATGGATAAAATTTCACAAACTAATCTTTTCACTTATAAATGGCTGAGTCAGTGACAGCCTATACTTGAATCATCCTAATTTATCTATCTACCAACCGTCTAATCCACTCACCTAACAACAATAATCCACTCACCTAATAAATGCTCTTGTCGGTCCGTGGGGCCCTTAGGGCGTGTATAAATTGTTAATATGTCAACAAAAAACGCATAGATAAAATTTCACAACCTAATCATTTCACATATAAATGGCTGAGTCAGTGACAGCCTATACTTGAATCATCCTAATTTATCTATCTATCAACCGCTAATCCACTCACCTAACAACAATGATCCACTCACCTAATAAATGCTCTTGTCGGTCCGTGGGGTCATTAGGGCGTGTATAAATTGTTAATATGTCAACAAAAAACGCATGGATAAAATTTCACAACCTAATCTTTTCACTTATAAATGACTGAGCCACTGACAGCCTAGACTTGAATCGTCCTAATTTACTTATCTACTAACCGTCTAATCTACTCACCTAACAACAATGATCCACTCACCTAATAAATGCTCTTGTCGGTCCGTGGGGCCATTAGGGCGTGTATAAATTGTTAATATGTCAACAAAAAACGCATGGATAAAATTTCACAAACTAATCTTTTCACTTATAAATGGCTGAGTCAGTGACAGCCTATACTTGAATCATCCTAATTTATCTATCTACCAACCGTCTAATCTACTCACCTAACAACAATGATCCACTCACCTAATAAATGATCTTGTCGGTTCGTGCGGACCATTAGGGCGTGTATAAATTGTTAATATATCAACAAAAAACGCATAAATAAAATTTCACAACCTAATCTTTTCACTTATAAATGACTGAGCCACTGACAACCTAGACTTGAATCATCTTAATTTATTTATCTACCAACCGTCTAATCCACTCACCTAACAACAATGATCCACTCACCTAATAAATGCTCTTGTCGGTCCGTGGGGCCCTTAGGGCGTGGATAAATTGTTAATATGTCAACAAAAAATGTATAGATAAAAGTTCACAACCTAATCTTTTTATTTATAAATGGTTGAGTCACTGACAGCCTAGACTTGAATCATCCTAATTTATCTATCTACCAACCGTCTAATCCACTCACCTAACAACAATGATCCACTCACCTAATAAATGCTCTTGTCGGTCCGTGGGGCTCTTAGGGCGTTGATAAATTATTAATATGTCAACAAAAAACGCATGGATCAAGTTTCACAACCTAATCTTTTCACTTATAAATAGCTGAGTCACTGACAGCCTAGACTTGAATCATCTTAATTTATCTATCTACCAACCGTCTAATCCACTCACCTAACAACAATGATCCACTCACCTAATAAATGCTCTTGTAAGTCCGTGGGGCCCTTAGGACGTGGATAAATTGTTAATATGTCAACAAAAAACGTATAGACAAAATTTCACAACCTAATCTTTTCATTTATAAATGGTTGAGTCACTGACAGCCTAGACTTGAATCATCTTAATTTATCTATCTACCAACCGTCTAATCCACTCACCTAACAACAATGATCCACTCACCTAATAAATGCTCTTGTCGGTCCGTGGGGCTCTTAGGGCGTTGATAAATTATTAATATGTCAACAAAAAACGCATGGATCAAGTTTCACAACCTAATCTTTTCACTTATAAATAGCTGAGTCACTGACAGCCTAGACTTGAATCATCTTAATTTATCTATCTACCAACCGTCTAATCCACTCACCTAACAACAATGATCCACTCACCTAATAAATGCTCTTGTCAGTCCGTGGGGCCCTTAGGACGTGGATAAATTGTTAATATGTCAACAAAAAACGTATAGACAAAATTTCACAACCTAATCTTTTCATTTATAAATGGTTGAGTCACTGACAGCCTAGACTTGAATCATCTTAATTTATCTATCTACCAACCGTCTAATCCACTCACCTAACAACAATGATCCACTCACCTAATAAATGCTCTTGTCGGTCCGTGGGACTTAGGGCGTGGATAAATCATTAATATGTCAACAAAAAAGGCATGGATCAAGTTTCACAACCTAATCTTTTCACTTATAAATAGCTGAGTCACTGACAGTCTAGACTTGAATCATCTTAATTTTATCTATCTACCAACCGTCTAATCCACTCACCTAACAACAATGACCCACTCACCTAATAAATGCTCTTGCCGGTCCGTGGGACTTAGGGCATGGATAAATTATTAATATGTCAACAAAAAATGCATGGATCAAGTTTCACAACCTAATCTTTTCACTTATAAATGGCTGAGTCATTGGCAGCCTAGAGTTAAGTAATCTTAATTTATCTATCTACCAACCATCTATGCATGATTCACTCACCTAACAGATGTTCTTGTCAGGTCGTGGGGCCCTTAGGGCGTGGATAAATTGTTAACATGTCAACAAAAACGCATGGATCAAGTTTCACAGCCTAGTTTTTTCACTTAATAAATGGATGAGTCATTGACACCCTAGAATTGAGTCATCTTAATTTATCTATCCACCAATCGTCTATGCATGATCCACTCACCTAACAACAATGATCTACTCACCTAACAGGTGCTCTTGTCGGGCGGCTCTTAGGGCGTGGATGAATTGTTAATATGTCAACAAAAACGCATGGATCAAGTTTCACAACCTAGTATTTCACTTAATAAATGGTTGAGTCACTGACAGCCTAGAGTTGAGTCATCTTAATTTATCTATCCATAATCCACTCACCTAATAGATGCTCTATCGGGCCTGGCCGGGCAGTGAGGTCCGTAGGGTTGGAGAATCAACTTTTTTTTGAAACAATAACCGTGGTTCGCATAGCTGTGTGTACCATCAATATCAAGTACATTTTTAATATACTATAAGTACATTATTTGTGTACTGAAGATACGTCATTTGATAGGATATATAAAATAATGTACTTTCAGTACTCAAATAATAAACTTTCAAAAAATGTACTTTACGCACACAAATAATGTACTTTTAGTATATTAAAAATATGCTTTTTTATTTATAATCCACACAACTGGTTGGACCATGGTCCATGTAATAATGATTGACTAATAGGCCGCTTAGTCACCGTGATCTACCTCTTCCCTAATAGACTATTAATTCACTATGATTGATCCCACCAACAGCATGGTCCTCCCACTTCATCTCGTATAATGGGATATTGAGTCACCCTAGTTTATCCCTCTACTATTCAGGGAAAAAAAATCACTTTTATGAGAAAAAACAATTAGAATCTATTTTACTACTAGAACTTAATCCAAACTCTAAATAAAATTTTATAATCGGTATATTTATATTTCAGAAAAGGAATTTTTTTACTGCTGCATTTAGTGCTTTTAGGAATCAAGTCATGGCGAATCCAAACATAAATTTATTGGAATGTTTTGTGATCTTAATTTTAATTCTTTTTATAAATATTTTTAAAAAAATTGTTAAAAGAAAAAGGATTATTTGTCAAACATAATTATATATGGAGTACAAAATAAAATGTTTATACTTCTTATATTTAGCAAAATTATATTATAAATTTCCTTAGTAATATAAATAAAGAAGTATAATTTGCGGATAGATCTTAATCTTCCATCAAATTCATTAATGGTTCAGGGTTTTAGTAAAAAATGATGAATCAATTTTATAATCACTGAAAACTTTTAAGAACGGAGTTTATTTTATAATTAAGTAATAATACGATCCTAGCGTTTGATTTCTCAACATGAAAAAATGTGGATATGTTCACACTTTTTATAATGATATGTGTT